AGGTACAAATGAAATATTTGTGAGCGCAGGAAATTTATGCCATATATATGGTTCTTAAACTAACTAAATACATAGATACAGTACCCAATTAACTATTTAAATGATTTAATATTGATATTAAATTTCCACCCATTTTCCTATAACTTTCTTCCTCATAATTCCCTAATTAAAGCTTTTCCTTTTCGAATCGGCGCATTTGTACAATCACACAACAGGAACAATTCTAGGAAACCCACACCTAAAGAAATACCCGAGCTCACGTCATAATTTTCATCATGTTCTGCAACCGTAAATCTCTTCAAGCCTCCTAGGAACACGTTGTATGATCTACTTTCTCGAAACATCATACATGATTACTCTTCTAGCCTTTAGTCGAAGGGCAACTAACAGAGAATCTTCTCCGCCATATAAACATTTATATTGAATGATTCTGTGCCTCGTAAAATTTTGCATACGCGGTCAGTGAGGTATTTTGTGTTCTCCTGTAGTGTTATCCACCACTTCGAATACACAAATGCCGTACGTTTCGCTGAAAACTCATAAAACTATACTCATGATTAGGGTTCGTGACAGTGAAATACAATGAAACGCTCCAAAACATCTCCTCTTGCCAAGGTCACAGACAATAGGAGTGCGCCGATGAAACACGCTGGTACGAGCAAAATTTATGTGACCTTATGATCGCAGAGGTATTTGATATTCTCTAATATATATGTTGTTGAGAAGACACTTATCGTAACTGTGTACTTCTATCATAACCGCAAAAGTAAACCTTTCAAAAGATAAAATTCCACTTTGGTAAAGAATGCCTGTTGTCTTTGGAAAAAATTTTGCCGTGCGGAGCTCGTGTTTGGACAAGGAAAATCTGTTAAGCTTCCTAAAGAACTCCGCAATACGTCATGAGCTAAAACAACTGTCGCAGATTAGCGCACGGTATTGCCACGGTATTGAGGACCACAATGAGAACTACTGGTTCTACCAATAATTGTGTCATCCAATAAAGTAATTATTATTATTAAACGCCTATGAACAGACTGAGGAACTTGAATTTATTACTGGCTTTTCTTAAGACAAAACTTAGTATTCAATGTAAGGATTTGGTTCTCAAGATACGTTGATTATCTAATTTCTGGCCTACTTTGTTTTCTCCAAACCATACACCATCAGTCTTGCAGTTCAATGTTCTCGAGGGCATCGTTTTGTACACCGAAAAGATGCCTTAAAGCTGCAGGTTATCATTGAAACTTAGCTTCAGCTGTCGAAATCGAAAAGCAAACACGTTCTCGGTTACAAACCTGTAACTCTTATCGCTGTTACTAAAGTGACTTTCGTTCCGGATAATTATATATTCGTTCCTTTCAAACACGTTTCTTTACACGGTCTCAACGGAAGTGTTTTATAAAACGCATCGATCGACAGTTCACAAAGCTGTTACTAAATCTCTCAATAATTTGGTTGAATATCTATCTTTAGAAATTTTACCCGTGGAAGATCGAACTTATACGCGACACCTTGACGGAACGATCGATTCACGAAAGTCACTTAGTTTTGTATCATATGGAACTTAATCAATCCCAAATATATTTGAAAGTTTCAATAAGCTGTATATTTGCCTCGATATATTGAGAGATTTTATCAAGAAAAATCCCATACCTTGCCATCTGAGAATGAGCGTAGTGGAAGCACGCGATCTGCGCAAAGACACAATCGACGTCTTGTAGGTAGATGCCTCGCTCGTTCTGTTTCAGTAACCATTAGCATGGCCAAAAACACGAACAGTACTTCAAAGGCCATAGGGGTAAGCAGCCACGATCAGTTCTTCATGTTAAATTCATATAAATCGCGGCAGGAAATGAAACGTCCAAGAAACTGCGACTTGAGCCAAATGCTTGATTTTTCAGATAAGTCTTGTACACAAGTACTATCACGACAACATCACCATGCACTTTGTGCAGTCCATAAGTTGAAACTCGTATACGTATTTGTCCTCCCTGCGTATAGTTCCTTGAAACCTGCTCGCCAGGCGTACAATTTTAAGCTCAAAGCTTCTTTGCGATGAACTCGGGCTGTTTAGGATATGATCTGCGTCACAAGACTTTAAAGTGCATCACACTCAAGAACTACCTAGTCAATATAACCTTTAAATACGCCAGGTTGTCAATGAAGCATTATTCCCGTTCTCTGTATATTCCCGATGCTGCGTAATGCCATTAAAAATTTTAATTCCTTCCGCTACTAGTACATGCGTTACAGCATCGTATCAGTTCGTGTGTAATGCAATACATAAGGAATTTAAAGCAGTAATGCACGTTTGGCTGAAAACATAATCATCTTATCGAAGAGGACCAATGAAGAGCGTGCTTCACACGAGCTTATCTGTTACTGATTGACTTCTACGGTGGGTATGTATCGTTCCTGATCTCACTAAAATTCTTAGAATTTGACCGAAAATGAGCCGTTTCTTAGAATTTTTATGACAGTGCAATACACACTTGCGAAAATACGGGCATATTGGCAAACAGTACAGTTTCTAAATTTATCTGGTAAACGAAAACAGCGAAATAATCATTGAGCCCAATGATTTTTAGGAAAAATAAGACGGGGAGTTTTATGTGTCTGTGGAGACTCAAAGGTCCGAAACCTGGGAAGTTTCGCGTCTCGTAGATGTCGATTTCGCGCGAGGCGCAAACCACTGTCGCTTTAAAAGGATCAAAACCCCCTAAAAAACTGTTACATTTTAACTTGGATGTAACTTCTGAACAGAGTATAAAACGCATGACAATCCTAAGAAAGAGCATTGCATCGAAAGGGCATAGGGTAAAATATGGACTGGACCATTGGACTCTTGGACTATTTGACTATTTTTTTGGACCATTTTTCGGACCATTTTATTGTGGGGCCGTAGAACATTGGAACTAAGGGATGGATGGGACGCAGTCTATCAGTACTCAGAGAGGGGTGGGTGGCAAACTGTTGTTACTAAGGGAGGGGTGGGAGACGAACTTTTAGTACGAAAGGAGGGATGCGAAGTGGTTGTATTAGTAAATGCTACTGATTAATAGAGTTTTAATAGATCATTTAAATTATTTTAAGCGGTTTTTCGACTGACTATTTTTATGTAAAAGTTTTTGCGCTGGGTCGTAGCGATCCTCTATTTTTTGTCACGCCAATGCGAAACTGACACCTAAACACTGGACTAAGATTGTTATTGAAAATATCGTCAATTTCCGTTTTCGATCAACTGACAACAAAAACAGCACAGCTTCAGTGCTGGATCATTTTTTCAATGACAGGTTTGCATTTTATGACTTAATGGCGCACATTACAGAATTACCTTTTCTACAAATTTCGGATTTGTGATTCAAAAATTACAAATTTCCTTCGCAAATTGCCGATTTGAGTGAATCTTGCAAACTACATTTTTCCATTCCGTTTTGTTTCGCAAATTATAGTAAGCCCTCTTAGAGACAATAACAAAACGACTACTACATTTCGCAATGACTCGAGAGAACATGAAATTGCTTTCCAATTTCTGAAACAGTCAAAGCTGACAAGTGTTTGTTAGCTACAGACCAGATCAAAATATTATGCGAAAAAAGGAAAAAACCGAACTGTTCAAATAAAGTTAAAAAGCGTAGGCCGTGGGAAATGGCACTTTAAGCCGGAAAACTGTGTATCTGAAAAGACTGAAGATTGCTTTGAACAGAACTACTAACAATGTATTTATAGTAAAGGTGCAGACTTTAACATTGCGATAGCGCTTGTGAATACAATGGCTCAGGATCGGAACTCCGGGATCTCTATCGTTCGCATAGGATCAATGACAAGAGGAAGATAGATGAATTCAGTAATGATATACTGTTCACACAAAGGGAACCATTCCTGCCTTCCCTCAGTTACAACAGTTTCCTTTCCCCTTCCCGAGTACTGATAGACTGCATCCCACCCCTCCCTAAGTACTTATGGCCTACCTCCCCCCTCCCCCAATTAAAAGGTCCAAAAAGACTGGTCCAAAAAAGTATCCAAAAAATGGTCCAAAAAATGGTCCAAAAAATGGTCCAAAAAAATAGTCCAATAGTCCAGTCCATATTTCACCCTACGGCCATTGAAAGGGACTCAAACAATCTTTTGTAGATGTGGGATATAAGGATATATACAATGATGTGTTTATTTGACAACAAATTGAATCATCGCCATCTCAATATACACCATGCTAATAATGGACCAGTCACAATTTATTGCCTGAGGGGAGGGGAGTTCGGGGGAATTTAAGGAAGATCACATGGTTTTTCAAGGGGAACGAGGGACCAGTCATCTCCAACAGAGTTCAAGGGGGGGGGGGCTGTAAAAATTGACAGCCAATATAGGGGAATTATCAGAATTCTACAGAGTCTTGTGAGGGAAACAGGTAAATATAATTGCGGAGAAACACACAACCAGAATCTTCCCACTCCCTTCCCCTCTCCCCCGCAGGCAATAAACAATGCTCGGTCTTTAACCCCATATATATAACCTGATTGTAAACCGCGAAAAAAGGGCTAACTATTGAAATTAGTTGTGCGGTATTTTTGTCCAATAGGCCCAAGGAGACTGACTGGCTGACCAACTGACTGAAAGACACTGACTTATTACTAAACCCTAAAAGTGACTGCCATCTAATTTCTCCCAAAAATTTCAGCTCTGAATCAAACATTCAGGTAGCGACAATAAAGGAAATGATCACCAGCTAGAAGAGCTCTTGATTGTTTCACAATTTCTTCTTGTCAGCAATATAGGAAACGTGTAGAGTGCAGTATAGAGAATATGCATACTGATGTTGGGGTGTAAACGGTTAACTTTCCCACCAGTTGACCCCAACACGGAACGATTCACTAACTAAATCATTAAATATTTCGCGGCTGCCTATCGGACTAATTAAGAATTGAGCAGTTTCCTTAGATAACAAGGAACAGATTGCAAAAAGGAACACGAGCAAACAAACAAATAAATACAATAAAGCATTGAACCTCTGAACGATGATGATCGCGTCAATCTTCGTATAGCAAAGGAACACTGAATGTACATATTTTCTTCAACGTTCTCAATATTGAAGCCCCGCCTTGGCTCCCTTACACAATAAAAAAACAAGATTGCAGATCATTCGTCATAATACATTTCTATTCGTCATCTTCAGCACTTCCAGGGCTGGATAATAGGTTTGTCGTTTAAGCGCTTGAAAATTTTCTGCTCATCCTCAGGCCATTTATAGATCAGCTCAGCCCACAGAGGGAGTTCCTGAGGTTTAATGTTCGTATTTGGTAGAGCAATGCACACCATTTTACTAGCGGAGTGAGTCTGTAGGAAAATTTTCTTAAGCAAAGCAAGTTCATACCAAACGCGCTCGTGTTCCTGAAAATTGAAAAAACGAAATATTTCTTGAGAGCCCACTCTAGCAGAGGGAGAACTAACAACAGCGTTGATGAACGGGAGCCAAGCGCAGTGGATAAAAGTATGTAGACTTAAAATGAAGTACCCAGATATAATCAAAATTTCAATAGGGTGAAATTAATCTTTCGTACCACCTATTTTCATGGGGCACCAGTTGAAGCATTGAGTGTATTCGCTGAAGGAGGCTCTAACGTATCTTAATCTTCACTAAAACGACACTTCTATTCAGGGGAAAATGTTTCTAGTCCTGAAAGTATGGAGAGTTTCGCTCTGAAATGTCTCTACAAAGTTATACCAAAACTATACCATTGAGGCAAATTGAAAACTAAAACGAATGAAAAACTCAAAACAGAGTAATAGTACGTACAAGCAGCTAAATTGTGATTGCTAGACAAAGGTTGTTGAAGGAAACTTTAAGTTCTCAGCAAGGACTGTTAGGATAATTTTCGTTTACCTGATGAGTTTCCGGATCATCTTCGTCAACTCCAGAAAGACGCAAAAGTCCCGGAGACAGAAATATAAGGACATTTCGAGCTCGCCGAATTTGTTGTTCAGCCCAGCGAGTTGGTCCACTAGAGAGTTCGCAGGAATTCATCACATCCATCTCCACTGGGTAGCCATTGTTCCTGAAGAAATTCACGACCGAAGCTACTTGAAGCTTGAACCACTCGTTTTCAGGAAAATAGCATGCGTAGAAAGAGTCAGGACCTAACAATTGAAAGGTTTGAAGATGACGTAACGCGATGACGTAACACGATGACGCAAACAAATGAGGCAATCGATGACTATAGACTGAGGTACATGTAGAAACTTACTAATGGGTTACAACGAAAGCCTCAACCCTTTAAACCTTAACATCAAAATGCATATTCTTTATACCGCTCTCTATAGACTTCCTTGGGTGTTGATGAAGAGAATTTTCTTAATAATCAAGAGATTCTTCAGTTGGTGATCATTTCCTTTATTCTTGTGACCTCAATGTTTGTTTTAGGGGTGATTCTGATGAGGGAAAATCGTTACTTATCACTCTTAAGGGCTAAAGGGTTCACCAAATCTTACCCACAAGGAGATCGCATCAGAGGTGTAAAAAGTAGGGGGAAATTTAAGAGATCCACTAACTTTACAGAATTTGTGTCTACACCAGAGTCTGATTACAAGCAGTTTTTAGGGGTATCTGTTTGCAGCGTACTGCAAGTCGACGAAAAGAAAATAATTTCAGTGCAAATGTTATCACATGCAAGAAAATGGATGTTTAGTTAAGACAGCATCTTTCATCTCAATGCAGCTCTTAATGCGATCCGATCACCATTAATTTTAAACTGGCATTTGAAGGAAATGATTTTTTTCCAAACACGTCAAAAAGGGGAATTTTTTAACCCTTCAGGGAGTTTCTAAGCAAGAACTCAAGAGTCCTACACTAACCTGCGTTTGGAGCTGTTGAAAGAGCTACTGTGTTGGAAAAAACCGCAATAAAATGGTCAGTATTTAATATGGTCAGTAATATTCAGTAAAACATTACATTACGAAGCAATAACTTACTTATTTGCACTTGACAACACCCACTGACAGCCCAACCACTTGAATTAAACCAGTTTTTTAGATAGCAGGAAAATCGATGGTTCAACACCATAATTCTATATAGTCCATGGGAAAACAAACCGACTTATTAATCAAGAATCAGGACAAAACTTAAATCCGCTTTGAGGTATCTCTATACGTCTGACCAAAACGAACGCTGATAAAGTTTTTCAGAGCGATTGTAACTATTATGTGATATGAACACAGGAAGATGAGCCACACACCTGGAGTAGGCCTTCCTGGGGCTACGGAAAGAGGATTGAACAAAAAAAAAGAAAGTTTAATTACAATACTTACAAGTTTATCTAAAACAATACCAGTGAACAAAACACAGCTTTTGTAATAAGGCAACTTACGTGGAAAACAAAACATACCTGGAATGGTGACTGTCATGATTCCAAAATAAAACAGAGACAGAGTGAGTAAATTCAATTCATGGTAAAAATAACATACTACTGATACAGAAGCATAATAATCCAACAATGATGAACCCACATTAATTTCAAACAACTTTTCTCCAAATACAAATTTATGGAAATAAATAGGAAAGTCACCAATGTGCTCTTAATCATTGTTTTTTTGGAGCATGGGTAGTTGACCCCGTGATAAGAACAAGTCGTCCATAATACTCTAACATCACCACAGTAACAGTGCCCAAGTTCCGATAACATTCATGAACATTAAGGTTACGTAAAAACGCACTTCCTTATTAACCACTCCTAAGCGTACCAAAGCAAGTTCCAAAAATTGCAAGGGCATTCAGTTATATTTAATTACGCACACACGAATTATTTATTAACTCTTTAACCCCTCTGGGCGACTAGCTTCTAATTTTTCCCTACATTACTATCCTTGTATCAAATGTAAAGGTCATAAAAGTACTGGAAATGATCATCAATTTAAGACGCTCCTGTTTGTCAAATTTAAGCTAAATTCTCCTTGAATTACCACAGGAAATGTAGAATGATGAGTGTGGAAAATGTCAATACTAATGTTAGAGTGTAAGGGGCTAGAGTGAGCACACAGAAAGATATCAGAATGAAAAGATATATCATAAAATCACCTAAATTGTTTGGTGGCATGAAATACCTCTCTTGACGCCTGTCACCTGTTAAAAAAGATTCGAAATGTAATTACGAAAGCTGGAAACATCTCACAATACGTGCACTCTTATGGGTATCAACTTAATGCCGATAACATGGCGAACAACAACAACAACAAAAACAATGGAAAAAATACAAATAGATCAGGCAAAGTAATGGCGCTGCGGCCTTTTGAAGCTCTGAACACAACGTCACGCGCCAACACACTTTTCTGCAGAAATGGATCATCAGGTCAGAACTCGTGCAAACGAGTAAAATAAAAGAGGATGGACCTTTATCAGTATTAAAAAACCTCCTTAACCCTTTAACTCCCAATATCTAATTGACAATTCTCCCCTCGAGCTGTCACACATTTCCTTGTTAATTGGATACAAGAATTTGGTGTTAGATCAAGAAAACAACTCCAACCTAATAAGTATGAGCATTGTCGTTATCTGTTTGCTACATTATGTATGGATACTCAAGGAAGAAGTTACTTGTCTATCACTTCTGGGAGTGAGAGGGTTAAGTAGGAAAGGCAAATTCCAACAAAGTTGCCACAAAGGGATTGGCAATTCAAAGAAAAGCGTTGTACAGCTGTCATTCGATTCTTCATCTGGCCTTCAAACCAGTCAGAAGGCCAATTCATCTCAACTTTTTTATCTTTTTTCATGAAGGAAAATATTTCCTGGAGGGTAAACAGGACCATTTTAGTATTGTCCTATGCTACTTTATTTTACTTTTTTTTTTAAGGTCTCGATCTTTAGTAAACAAACCTTCATAAAGAAGTGAACATGGCCTGATTCGTCTACGATAAATGAAGAACAAGAAAGCTGCCAATAACACAAGGCCAAAAACTGCACCAGAAGCGGCCACCGCAATTTTGATGGTGTCTGTTGAGAAAGAGTATGGTTTATATGTGTAACAAGTGATGAGATGGAATGGGAGTTTATGAACAGTATGCGTATTCAAAGGTGGAGGGGTCGGAAACAACTGGATGAATAAGAGGATGTTGCATTACACTAAAAAAATTAATTAATCATAAAACACCGCCTTACGGGAACTTAATCCACAACAGCCTGCTTGCCAGTCTCGCACATTATGATATATCAATAGAAAGTAACGTTTTCTCTTGTATATATTTAACAAATTTATTCCATGACGCCGTGCGTCCGCTTAGTAAAAACTCACAGATGACGTCAAAATGGGGGTAAGAAAAACAAAGTGGCACACGAGGCGCCGCCGAGTGCGTCACCGATGTTCCTACTACATGGGGCACCATAAGACTGGTCCTTCCAAAAGTCAGTAAAATCAACAACTTAGTATCGTGGAGATACGCTGCATCGAAATCGTGGAACACTATACCAGACGCGTCTCGGAAGATTCAAGCATACACTGCTTTTAAAAACAACCTAAAATCATTCAATCTCACGGGACTCTGAGTCCGATGTAGATCTATTCTTGATCAATCTTTTACCCTTTTTAAAATTTTCAATTTTTTTCATATATTATATATACATATTTTTTTAACTTAGTTTGAAAAACATTGTGGAATTTTCATATTTCGTATTAGTTCGTTTTTAATCTTAACTTATCATAAATTTATAAACCTTCAAAAGGCTTTATATTATTTATAATACAT